ACTAGAGGGAAGGTAGCTATTCATCACCCCCCACCGCCAACTCTTGGACTACTCTTTTACCAACGAATAGTGGGATTGACCGCTACATTATAACTCCCCACGGCTGAAAGGGTGAGCATGTTCGGCGACTGGGATTCGAACCCGCGACTCTCAGATTGCGAATCGAGCGCTCTAACCACCAGATAACTTCAATGTGCTTTAGTAAGACGTTTTAAGACCGCATAGTGACATTCTGCTGATCTTTTGTTCTTTTTTTTAGTGTTCTACTGAAATGGAATCGTATTCTTTGTAGAGTATTGTAAGATACAGGTAACCGTTCTTTACTATAGAAAATGTTTTAGTTGCCGACATTGGGATGTGAAAAAAGCAATTTTTGTTGTCAGTTTTCCTTTAATAAAGTCTTTTAGTTGCATAGAATTAGAATAATTATTAAATTATTTCTGAATAACAAATTTTCAGCATTTTCCCTTAAAATCTTAACATTAGTACATGTTGGCTACTTAGCATAGCTACATGTACAATAACAATACGAAATTATTACTTACACACATTATAATTTTATTCCACTAGCCGTTTCAATAATTTCACTTCTTGTTCATTAAATTAAACTTAATGGGTGTTAAAAAAAGGAAATTAGAGACGTAGATAAGTACTAAAGATAGACCATACTATGTGGTTTGTTTTACAACAAAATCTAACTTAGAATAATGTTTTATAGTAAGAATTAGCTAATATAGAACTCTAACAAGTCTGCTTTCTCAATAAATGTGGAACATGAACAATGTATGTAAAAAAAGGTGATGAACGATTTGTTGTAATGGCCATGTTATTCTCTCGTACCGTGCACATGTTTCACATAATTCAAAGTAGTGCTATAAGTGAACTAACTAAAGCTGTCGAATTCCCCCCCCCCCAAAAAAAAAACGTTTCGTAGCTTTTGTTTTCTTCAAGATACTACTTTTAATCAACATATTAAAAAACGGCAACAACTAACTTTGTGATTTGGAGTTGGTGCACTTTAAGTTCATGTTGTTCACGTCACACAATCAGTCCATCCTTGTAAAATTATTTAATTGGCTTTACCCTTCAAATATCTTATAGACTTAGACAGAAATTCCATTTCAATTTTGAAATTGACTACAACGATTTTTCTCGCCGGTGTTCTTAAAAAGGTGGTGCAAACTGAAGGACGCTTTTATAAACTCTTACAACGATAAATTAGTGTATTCAAACATTATCTGCTGAATGTTATGTTATAATGTTTATCCAATCAGGCAGTTATAATTCTCGTATTATTTATTTATAATAATCAATTAATACAAAATAATTCATCCACATCTTTATGAGGACCTAATGAAGACGTATACAAGCAATTCAAAACGTCATCTCTAAATTAACCACAGGTTGATGACGCTTGTTACACAGTTCAAAAGTTTACAGCCAATACGGCTATGTTATAATATAAAAAACTGTTTAGTTCTAGTTTTTATTTTATTTTAATTAGTTAGTTTGTTCTT